TTCCTGACTTTCAACAGTAATAGCTACACTGGGAAAATATTTCTTCCCTGCAGTTAATTCAAAACAAGGAACCATGGTATAAAAAGGAAGTATTTAAGGAATTCACGAATTTCGATAAAACCGAACAGCTCAGTTCTCTACAGGCGTTGAAGTTGACAGTTACTTTTTCTTACTAGGCTCATCTGTTTGTATGCATGTGAATCACAACAGCTGATAAAAGTTATTGTGCGTATAAAATATTTGGCTAAAATGAGCTAGCTACATATTTATTTCGAACATTTTCAAAAGTTATACATTAATTACTCTGATATGATATAACCTTTGAAAAAGATGAAAGTTATAAAGTATAATAATAACAGTAACTTTATTTTGAACAGTGCGCTTATAAGCAATGCAGCGTATTCTGCATGTTCCACTGCATGCTATTTACATCTTGTACACAATGTTTAAGTAGTATAATAATATTATTATTCTATCCAGAGCATACTCCACTACTTCACAATGTTTGTCTTCTATTTCCTTCTACAAATTCATGAAAGCAGTTGGGAACTTATCTGAAAATGTGCCCAAAACAATTACAAATGTAGTAAATGCGATGTATTCTTTTTGATAGAAAATGTAGGTAGAGCGATGTTTTAAGGACAGCGCCGTGCCTACATTCTCAGTATAATGTGTCGGTTTTCTTGAAGTGGTGATACTGGGTACACTTAATTATGGTTTCTAAAACAACGCATCAGTATATTGACTGAGTCTTCGATCATATCATGATTATTGATATGTCTGATATCTATGATGACACTGATGCACTAACATATTGACAGTGTGTGTTTCATACACGTAAAGTGTACGATACCACAAAGCTTTCTGTGCAGTGGTTCATAATTTTCGGAAGGGTGTATCTGTCAGAAGTAAATGGTCATTGGTGTCGGCATTGAAACAGATTTTATCTGCATTAATAAACTAATATTAACTGCGCAAAAAGACTGTCACAACTCAGTATATCAAACAGTAACTTTGCTGTACTAGAGAAGATGGATACCAATTCCAAGTCAAAACTGAAAAACAGTCACTAAGACTACAGTAATTCTATCTAATGATATAAAGCTGATCAAGCTTCAAGTTATATACGTTTTATAATGTTAATGACAAATGCGCGAATGTAAATATATCATATGAAAATGCAATTTTTGGACTTCTGCAGATTTATGTTTCAGGAATTGAAGCAGATTTCCTGTTACAACCATAACCGATTCGTTATTGTCTGGACTTAGGAAGCCAATCTCTACGTTCTTTTTGATAGCTGGAAAATTTCCCTTAAGGTGTTTATAGTCACAAAACACACCAACGACAGTAAAAAGACTATTGTTCGTGGTTGAAATCTATGTGTGGTTCTGTTCAACAATAATAATATCCACAACTCAAGATTACTTAAACAATGCAGTTAGGCAGAGATGAACGAGCAAAATAAGTTTCTGAGTACAAAATCAAGTAGAATATTGCCAACAAGATGGGATCAAAGACTCTATCCACAAGAACCACACATCGACACTCCTCACAGACAATCAGAGGTCCACATGACCTCAACTCACTGAAACCGAAATCACATCATAAAACAACACATCATCGCTGTTCAAGTATTGGTTTTTTATAGGGATTTTGTTTGATTACATGGAGGATTTCGTCATCGAAGAAGCCATTGCGAAATGGTCGCGCTATGTCGTGAATTGCGAGAAGTTAGAATTCAAGGACCATTGAATCAGGTTCCAGTGGCTCAGCGGTCTACGAGCTCGCCTTGTAACCAGAAGGTCCTGGATTTGAACCTCGGTGCGTGCGTACTGCTGCAGAATCCCAAACTAGGATGAAACAGATGGTTGTCCAGTACTTCCAGGTTTTCCAGTGGTTTACTAACTGATGTCAGCCCATGATGAAATCCTCCATCCAATCAAACATCATCAATGTATCACACAGTCACAAACAGAAGCATTAGAACTAGAGATTAGACGGGGACTAAGACAAGTAATAAAGACTAAGTTAACAAATGATTTGCAAACGTCAGAACAGTGATAGGCTGTCCAGAAAAAGAACCGATAATACTTTTGAAGTTATTTGAAGCATCTGAATAGGTAGAGATACTGTAATTAGATTTTTCAGGGGATATTTCCCAAACAATCTTCCAATTACATTTCTGACACACAAAGCCTTTGCAAATACGTATAGGTATTTTTAATACGCGCATAACACAGCAGGCACGCTTCTTTTATTTTCTTGACTCTGACTCTCATAAACGATGTAAGTGTAAAATTATTGTTAAATACCCTAAAAAACCTTGGCTGTATTATATAAATACGGTAGAATAATTGATAATTAGAAGTGAGGAATGCAAATTACTCCACAGATCAATTGTGTGTTGGACATTTGAAAAAATTATGAAATATCAGTGCACAAGTCAATTTTCTAGTAAAGAGGATTGTAAAATAAAGGGCAAGGGGAATTATTTTCACTTAAAATTTCGATGACGTGGAAATGAATTATTAGGATAGGCGTAAATCCACTTTCAAATATGCGATTTCCACGTACAATTCTATAAGCCAATGAGAACAGTGAAGCAAACTAAACGTGCGCTTAGAAGCCCACTGATTGAATCTCGTGGAAAATTTTAAATATAATCACACTAAAAGACTATGCTAGAAGACTTTACCCACTATTTATTGAGATGTAATAGAACTAGTCAATGACAGCATTAGTATTCTTCTTTGCAGTTTCATCTTACATACTTTTTTAATGCAAAAATTCAATCAAGCAGGTTTGAATGTTTCATGTATATATATAAACAGTCACTCTTCTGATATGTATAATGGTGATTGCGAGTAGTCAGACGGTTTATTCTACTGTATTTATAAGTTTGTTTTTATACTCCTATGGCATTATAAAGTCATAGGCCTTCACATATACTCCTTTCAAATGCTTCAGAACAGAAGATATACATCCAGTTTTTTGAAAATATGGAAACGAGATTAGCATGTAACCAAAGTGAAGCTAAATTAATTTCTCAAATAAAAACTTACTCAGTATCTTCATTTTTATATATTTAATCATGCAACAGTATAAGAAAAATCCAGTTAATTAGGATGTTCTCTGATTTTGAGAGCACTGACATGGTACCGTAGTGTTTTTACATTGTCCACAACCTAATTATTTCAGGATTCAAAAAATGGATTACTAGCATTTGTAGAACAAACCTTTCACTACGTCGTAAAAAGTTATACTGAAAGTATTTCTAAATTTTACTTAAATTACGCACTGATGAACGTTTGCACGAGGTGGTTCACTATAGAGCTGTTAACGGTTTGGACAAAACCTTTATTTAATCACAATGGTAGATGTTCCTGAGCAACAGACAATAAAACTAGCTTCATAGGAGCAGTTGAACTGTTAAATAAAATTAGAGACGGCTAGTGTAGGCACTGCATCTTTCAGTTTCAGACTCACAACCAATTGTGTGGAAAATACCAGCTGCTGCTTTCTGGCATTATGTGTTCTTTGGATTGATTTTCTCAACTTACTGGCTATTATTTCACTCGACGTATCACCTTTGAATTGTAGTCGTAAATACAGAGGCGATATACCAAGTGAGATAATTGCGAAGAAATTAAGAAAATCAGTTCAAAGAACTTTTAATGCTGGCGAACTACACGTTTTATTCTCTACACGACCGATGGTGCTACCTCGACTGAAAGATGAAGTACATAGACTGGTCACTTCAAAGTGCATCTGCCAATTCAACAGCCCTTGTGGAGCGAGTTATATTGGCCGTTGCTCTAAGAACTTGATTTTTCGTGCTCGAGAACATTTCCCACTATGGCTAAGTAAAGGTGTGGTAAAGCCATTAGCAGTCCGATATTGGACCATCTGGAGTAAACCGGCCACAAAGCCAGCGTGGAAGAATTCTTCTCTGTCATCTACCGGGCGCCTAATAAATTGCCGAAATGATCGAAGCACCGCATGCTCCAAGCAGCAGAGGCTATTGCAATTCGCCTTAAACAACCAGTGCTCTGTGTTCAAAAGAAGCAAGTCTGCCCTGGTCGGCCTTCAGTAGGGACTATAAATTCATGCATTTGTATGATTACTTTCCTAATTTTTCTGACATTCAGCTTATTTTATGTTGATGCTACTGAGCTGTAATCTATCAATATTATTGATTCGATGTTATTTAAACAGCATTAATGTTGTTCATAACACTAATTCATTCATTCATTCACTACAATGTATATATAACTGTAGAGACTGATGATGAAGTTATCGAAAAGAGTAATCTTTGTTCAGTATCCTTTCTTCTAAAAATACAGAAGAATCATTTTCTGCTTTCTTGGCCATGCGTTCACTGATAAACTTTTCAGGGAAGCGCTTTCAACTGGGCTGATGTATACAACTTTAAATTCGTCTTCAAACGCGTCTTCTGAACAAACAGCTCTTACTATATAGCTGAGGGTCTTTGCCAAATTCACTTTTATATTGGAGAGGAAGAAAGCTGTCAAAATGTGTTTGTTGACAGATCCAGATAATTTTCACATGCTAAAATCTGGTCTTCTTGTCACTAGGACGTCTAAAAAGGCTATTTTATCTTAAGATTCTTATTCACACGAAAATCTGATAGCTGAATGTACATCAATTAACTGAGATACTATTTTCTTTATATTATTTATGAACCAAGCCGGTCTTCAATTAATTAGCTGTCCTCTTTTCCAAGTGAGTTGTACATTGTGTCAACGCCTACGTTTCCGCTGATGACAAATTTGCTTTATTGATATGCTTCTACTTAATATCTGACTTATTTTGAGTTTGCAATACTGTAGTATAACAATATCCTTTTGGCAGAAATTGTAACCATTGTTGTCTCCATACACTGCTTCAACGTCTAGTGCAACTTCTTTTTTTCTATCAGTCATTTATTTTGATCGTGTTAACTACTTACAGACTGAACTGGCCAGAGGTAAAAGGAAATGGATGATTTTGCCGCGTAAGATAGAAAATTCTTATGTCGAAATAGGGTCATATGGATATAATCTGTGAAAACAACTTCAGAGACTGTAGTCGTCGAGATGGAAGCTTCCATAACAAAAGTTTTGTCGTATCTTTTAATAGTACATATGAATTCATGAAAAAATTCAGTTAAATAGAGGCGGAAGCTACTATGGGTTTAAAATGCATCGCAAATTCTTTCATTTGATTTTCATTTGTCTTACACGCTTTTAGTTTAGAGTAAGACTAGTGTGCTTATTTTGTCAGTCACTTAGGTATAACCATAAAAAAAGAAAACCACATCAGATATCTTTAAGTAGTAAAAGAATCTACTGTGACTGGACAGAAAAAACTTGTTTCACACAGACCACTTCGTGCAAAGTTTTCTCGGGAAATCCCCAGTGAACAATCTAATCACAGTATCTCTACTTATTCGGATGCTTTATCTAACTTCAAAATTATTATTCGTTTTTCTCCTGAACTGTGTATAACTGTTCTGACGTTTGCAAATCATTTGTTGACTTAGTCTTTATTACTTGTCTTAGTCCCCGTTTAATCTCTAGTCATAATACACCTGTTTGTGATTGTGCGATCCATTGATGATGTGTTGTTTTATGATGTGATTTCGGTTTCAGTGAGTTGAGGTCATGTGAACCTCTGAATGTCTGTGAGGAGTGTCGATGTGTGGTTCTTGTGGATAGAGGCTTTGATCCCATCTTGTCGGCAATATTCTATTTGGTTTAGCATCATATATTTAACTCTCAATCCAAAACATCGTTCACCAGTAAAGTCGTCATTACAAGTTTTGTTTATATTCCTTGTGGGTGAATCTAAGTGTTACTTTTTTTCTGTCATCTTTTCTTTAAGAAATCATCTAAAATAAGGACAGAATTTCTTTTAATGAACATAAGAAAAAAGTGCTCTTTTGTTAACAGTTTCCATTGTTCTTACTTATATCGTTAAAAAATATGTCATTTAGTATTTAATTTCTGTGACAGCGATTCATTTGTTTAGGACAGAAATGTTACGGGATTAATATTATCATTTTTGTGTTGTGTAGTTAAACTGTTCCTTGAAAATTCAGTTTTTGTTTTATACGAAATTACTTCGTTTTTCATAGGCACATTTTAATAGAGTTTTTTGCAACACTTTTTTTTTCTATTTAATTCTAGCTGAACGAAATTCAGGACAATATCTGAAAACTTTAAGCTTTTACATAGTTAAACACTATAGTGATTAAATTCTGTGCTTGTTCATGAGGGATAATACTTGGTTTGTAATACTGTCAACCAGTAATCAGCTGAAAATTAGAATGTGTCTATATTCTTTGACAAAACATCCTTTAAGCTGAGATCCAGCTTGAAAAGATGTCGTTCAGGCATCAAAGCGTTCATAAACATTCAATCACAATAATTTTGGTCATAATAAATAACTTAATTTGCTACACTGTTTCGATGCAGAAATATATATCGTTTTAAATATAAAAATGCACGAAATATGATGGATGTATCAACTCGGAAATATGCTCAAATTCCTGTCGAACAAAAATGTATTTATTTCGTTTCATAGACGAATTTGTTTGATAAAATCTAAGCGAAAGAACCATTTGATTTTCTGTATTTTATGGTTTCTCAAACGTTTTGCATTTGATAAGACGAATTTAGCTTTTTCTTTTTTATAAAATAGTGAATATTTAATCGGTTGTTTGTGGAGATATTAAAACAGCTGGTTAGCTAAGCATAGCTCAGTGAAAGTGAATTGATACAAAAACCATTCATAGACAAGTTATATCAATTATTGTTTATCAATATTCTTCGGTATTTTGACTTGAATAGTTTAAGCACCTAGCTTTACAACTGCCTACAGGCAGCCACTAATCTAGAAACTGAGACGGTTTTAATTTGCTTTTTAGGAAAAATAATTAAGTAATCAGAAAACTTATTCGCTAGAATCTGGAGAATATTTCTCCTCACACGTGACTTGATGGACTCCGTTGATCACCGCCACTCTCCAATGACAGTATACAACTAGTTAGCAGAGTTTACAGTGCATAAGCCAATGAATTCCTTCTCAGCAGCTGAGTAGTCAGAGGGCTTGTCTTATGACATGGATATATCTGGTTCTTCCCCTTGTGTAGTCATGCTTGCATATTGTTGAAGAGATAAGAACTAGAAAGAAATAGATATCAAATACTCTTAGAGTTTCAGTGTTTCTTCCAATGATGTCAGTTCATAGTCTTACTTGGTACCAATACAATATCTGAATTTCAACACCTGGAAATTGATGGATTTAAATGTGTAGGATGTGAAGAAGAATTCTCGGACAACACTTTTCCTATGTGATTATTCTTGTGCTGAACAAATCATGGAGATATTCAACTTAATTAAAAGCGTTGTATAAAGGCTACGGGCGATTATATTGAATTCTTACAGATGTTGATTCGTAGGGAGAAATTCAAGTCGTTAGACATCCAGTAAGTTTGGTGTTTTCTCATTTTAAAAAAATATCAATTTCCTGGAAAAAGTTTTATAAACTTTTATTAAAAACTTCGTATCCAACCGAAATTTTGAACCGAATTATTTCTATCATAGTGGATGTCGATTACAAGGGGCTAGCTCAAGAAATAAGATTAGAAAGTGTTGAATACCAATTGAGAAACTTTATTTTACATAAATTGCATCTTTTCAAATAAACGTGAATTTTAGTTGGTGTCTTCTCACTAAACCATATCAGTAAAATCTTATCAGAAGTATTCTTGCTTATAATAATAGCTTTGTCCCAAGCAGTACTTTTCATAAAAATACGGAATTTTCAGCATCTAATACCCTTATTGCATAAACCTGGGTAATTACATTGATCATATTACTCAATATGAATATTTAAAAAAATTAAGTGAAAATATTTAAAACAACAATAATATTGAAAACTGGAGAAAATAAGGCCGTTTACTTGGTGTTTCTCAGAAAGTTAATAGTGTTATGCTTTAAACTTTTCTCATCTTAAAATGTGTACCGAATAAGATGTCATGCAGTTTTCATATGAAACTATATCTACATATTCATTCTAGTAACCAAGAATTATTATTCCATATTTTCAAGTATTGGATTTGTAGGGAATTACTTTGATTAGGTGGAGGATTTCATCATGAGCTGACATCACTTAGAGAACCACTGGAAAACCTGGCTGTACTGGATAGCTGTTTCGTCCTAGCTTGAGACTCTTCACAGCATTTACCCACCGGGGTTCGAACCCGAGACCTCCTGGTTACAAGGCAAGCTCGTAGACCGCTGAGTCACTGGGACCCGATTAGACAGCCCATGGATTCTAAATTTTCCCAATTCACCACATTGCGCCACCACTTCGCAATATCTTCTTCGGACCCCGGTGGGTGCGTACTGTTGAAAATTCCCAAACCAGGACGAAAGAGCTGTCCAGTACTCCGAGGTTTTCCAGTGGTTTTCTAACTGATGTCAGCTCATGATGAAATATTCCATATTTAATAAGTTTATTTTAATTATCACACAAAGATGCAGTATTAACAACTGGATGACATTTTGAGAGTAAATGATTTCTCATAATCATATCAAAATTTCATTCTACCACACTGCCTTAGTTCCACACGTACAATAATGAGGAATTACTATATCTAAAATAGTGCTTAAAATTTATATACACTGAAACTTATTTTGAATATGCGAACTGGAATAATAATTGCGGCGATTGTAATGTAAATTTTTGAGCAAACATAGAGTGAGCTCTACTGCCATCTGAACATCAAGAACTTGCTTTGCAAATGAGTGGAAAAGTTACTTGAAATCTGATTCATTAAATTCAAACCTACAGCATACTATTTTACTGGTAATCGTGAAGTTTGCAGTCGAAATAGACAATCTAGGGTTTTTTGTCAATACATTATTTGCAAACTTTGCAGTGTTGGAATGTTAGAACTAAGTTTTTTCAACAGCTGCATCATTTCACTTCCAATCAGTCTAGTATTGAAAGTTGTCTTCAGACTGCCTCTATAATTCCAGATTTCGCCGGACAAAATACTACCACAAACACACACATACTATCCTCCTCAATTTTATCGCCTTCACTCTAAGTTCATTTAGTGGGGGTGTTTTTACACCATTCTCACTTTCTTTTGTGCTTGAGGGGTTGAATCATATGGAGAAATATCTACTACCTTCAAAAGCTAAATTAAATATACTCCTAGTTTAGCTGAATATGTTAAAACCTCTTATTCACCGAAATGTAAGTATTCAGTGATACAAAACAGGGAAGTTTCTGCTACCTACCATCCAGTCTTATCCCATTTCGGAACCATAACATTAAAATAAGGGGAACAGATATGTTCAAAAAAACCAATACATAATTCTTATTCTCATTTTGATGTTTAGAAAGAAGAATTAAAATAGCAGATGAACACGCTTGTTAGTTAAATGTTATTTTACATAATCATTGGTAAGACATTTAAATTAATTTTTCCCACTGAGATATAAGCCAATGATATCAATGAAGAAAATTGTCTTTTTGTGGATTTTATTTTCACCGATGCACAGTGGTATTTCTAAATATGGAAATAGAAAAAATAGAAAATAAGTTATGCTGTATTGTGGAAAGGTGTAATGAAATTCGACAGTTGGTGCGATTAGATCAGTATGGATGGTTATGAATAACAGAATGATCAGAAATATAGAAAGAATAAACAAAGGTGAACCGAAAGTATGAAGAACCTGAGTAAATAGATAATAGGAACACCAAGTACACTGGCAATCTCGCCTAGACTACTAGCTTGCTAGTTTTCTAGCCGGTCCCAAGCCCGGATAAAGAGGGAGAGTTGGGGCGTGGTGCTAGCAACTCCACCTCCAAAACTCAACCAAACCGCTACAGAAACTTCAATGCACCAATATATTAAAAATTCTAAAAATATAAACAGTAACTTTATTTCTCGCTGGAATCGGGGATGTGAAGTGACGCATGTCGGGGAAAGCCTTCGAGAAGCCAGTGAGCCAATGTGCCTTCTTTCGATGACAGTAAAAATAAGGATGCGTACCTGGAATGTTCGTACAATGCACGAAACTGGAAAGGCTGCCAAGGTAGCAGCATAAATGAGGAAATATAGAATAGAAGTGTTGGGAATCTGCGAGAGCAGATGCAGCGGATTTGGAGGGTGCCAACTACCAACTAGAGAGACAGTAATTTATTCCGGTCACCCAGAGGACAATCACGAGCACACCGAGGGAGTGGTCATCATGATGTCACCAACACCAACCAAAGCTCTCATGCAGTGGGAACCAATCTCCTCCAGGATAATGACAGCTAGGTTCAACTCAAAAGGAAGGAAGCTTTCAATCATTCGATGCTATGTGCCTACAAACGTCTCAGAACAAGAGAAGAAGGAGGCGTTCTACAGACAACTACAAGCAATAATGGACAACGTCCCAAATGGCGATATCAAAATCCTGATGGGTGATATGAGTGCGAAGCTGGGAGGAGACAATACAGGAAGAGAACTGACCATGAGTCGTGAGGCCTTCAGTGAAATGAACGACAATGGTGAACTCTTATCAGACTTCTGCGCCTTCAATGGTTTGGTGATTGGTGGCAGTATGTTCAGACACAAGGATATACACAAGGCGACAGGGATTTCACCAAATGGAAACACCAAAAACCAGATAGACTTCATTCGATCTCAAGGAATTGGAGACGGAGCCTACTGGACACAAGGTCGAGGAGAGGAGCAGATGTGGGTTCAGACCACTACCTAGTAGAAGGGACTTTCAAGGTGAAGCTAAAAGCCTTAGGTTGTTAGAATGTGATATCATTAGGTTAAATAAATATAAACAAAATGAATTATGAAGTAAGGAAGAATAAAGGCATTTTATGAACCACATCATAAAAGTAAGACCAGAACAAGTAAAGAGATCGTACATATTGTTTCTGCACACTACACTCGGCCTTAAGGAGTGTATTGTTGAAGCCTCCGTCATACAAAGCAAACGTATTCATTTCCCTTTCGACAAACCTTCCTGGATCTTTTAGACAATGTTGAAGGATCCATCAGAAACTGCGTGGTGATTACCTACTATGCATGGGAATATGTGTGAATTAATGGTTCTGTGCTCGTTTTAGCTCAGGCAAGCTAGGAGGTGCTCTCGAACACTGAAGTATGTGTTTCTAGACGAACATTCTCTGTGTCTAGCTCTAAAAGAACAGGTGGATGCATAAATGTGCATAGAATTGGCAATGGAGGTAACACTTCCGGTGGATGGTTATTAGTAGAGTGACGGCCAGAAATATTTCTGTTAATGGCCTTCTTAACCGTTTTTTAAGGACTTCATGTTTGCGAGACAGTTTTCAGTAGGATGAAAAAAACAATTACCAGGCTAGATCGCATGGTAGTGATGGTTTCATCAATGCATATAGATTTAAAAAATAATATAAAATAAACGTCACCTCACTATAGTGGGATTTTAGGATTTGCTGGTTTTGGTGGAGTGGTGGAGGTAAACGTGCGTAAGAATTCGCACATCGTCTGATGAAACTGCCACCTTATTTAGTGTTTTTGTTTTACTAACTTGTCGCCTAGTTCAGAAAGCCGATAAATGGAATAGGATGTAAAAATCGTTTGTAGATGGCCTTCTACACTTCAGTGTTTATCGCATTTTGACGATGGGATAATTTCACTCTACTCGATATCGCTTGGTACTTGCATTAAATCACAAGCAATAAATTATTTTAACTTGAATGAACTTGTAGATACAGTTTCGTGCAACTACAAAGCATGCGTTGAAGGCTGAATTAAATTCATTTCGTTATCAGATATATTCTTATTTCAGGAATAAGGTGTACTTGGCGAAAGTTGTTTATTCAGATCAGCTGAATTCTGAATGAACTGTGTGATACACCATCCTCTATAAGAATCAAAGTTAATGTCACTGAGTTGAGCAAAAACGATTCACAGTTAATACCCTTAACATGAAATTTAGCATAGAGGTATAGTGAATAAAGTCAAGTATGAAGAAGCGGAGGTTTTAACAGAAAAAAGTATCAAAGCAACTATGTTTTATAGACTTCAAGAGACAGAATGTTTTCAAATGGCTGGTGGGTAGGGATTTATCAACTTAGATTCACTCGTTTTTCGGGATGCCGAATTATTTGGTAAAATGCACTTGAATAAAAGGACCACTATATTTTGAAGTATATATTTTAAGAACTAAGTGTTTATGTGCTTTAATTCTCTCCACAGGAAAGTTATTGGGGATTTAATCGGTGTATTACTCAGGGAAGTTATGCAAGTATACTTTGTAATACTTTTAAGTCCTTAATATTTTAATGTAATTCAAGAAAACAGGTGGAAAACATATTTTTCTGTTGTTCTTATTAAGCCAGAAAGGTTATGAGAACAGTATACTTGTGATGTAAAACATTCCGGTCACTTGCATCCTATTGTGGATTTAAATATAAGACTTATAAGTTTGTTAAGCATAAAAAAGTAACGTGAAATAAGTCTTCCTAATGTGTTCGCCAACTTGTTCACTGATGTATTAAATATTTCAATTTAGACCATGAAATTAAGTTCTCCGGTTAAAAGTTTATTTGTTGAGCACAAAGGCATAAATATACTAACAGAACGATCGTCATTTAGTGCTTGACTCACAGAAATCAACCACTTAGTGTTATAGTTGGGATGCGACACATGAGGCATTAAGAATTTTGAATATTTTCATTGGTTTATAAATTTATTAAAAATACAACCGGAGAACTCACATTTATGTGTTTGTATGCATGCATTTAACATCTATTTACCAAACTGACCAATATCTTAATTGTCTATTTTTGATAGTCCAGAGTGTTACAATTTTTATTCCTTTATAAATACAAGTATACTCTTCATAGTGAGTTCTACGGTAATCAGGAAAGTAAAACTCAGTGAAAGTGACAACTGGTTCAGCGTATCAAAGTAAGTTGTTTTCATTGTAACACTGTTTACTTATATTTGTGAAAATTAGGGTTAAGATTTGGTATTAGTTAGATATTTTTGACTATTTTATAATGCTTGACTAAAAATTGGTAATCTTAAAGTTGGTTAGTATTGACACATGTTGTTTTCTACTCAGACTAGTTGGATAGCTTTGTCAATTAAGCTATGCCATGTATTCTTATTTCTATTGCAGAACTAAGGAGGAATTGAAATATAAGTTGTTCTGAACACACACACACACACAGAGTTTGCATTTAAACACTGTTTCTTTTATAAATATAAAATAATCAGACCATAGTGCAAACAAACCTCTTTGAAAACGTAAATGACACTAGGTCAGGTAGCGTTAATGCTAAATCAGTCCTGGCATTCAACTTCGGTACTATAATTTCTCATGTAGGATTCTCAGTAAATTTACAAACCAGTTAAAAGTAATTAACGTTTTGATGTTTAACCGTGTTGACATTACTGACTCACTTAGTGAGTGATACTAATATTATTGCAAGGCGAGAAAATGTAGCGCAAGTTTACCTCATTTATCATTTTTGAGGATAAATGTGCCTTATTCAGAATATAATAAAAGTTCCATAATAATGTTAATAATCTCTTTATTCCAAAAGGTATTTTTGATGCATTATGTGTATTTTCAGCAAGTAGTACAATATTACGCGTAATTTTCTCTCTAAGTTACGTAGTGGAACGATGCGCGGGGGGGGGAGGAATACTAAACAGGACACATAGATTGACAATAATGTTAATGAGATAAGATTTTATTTTGATAAATCGCTTAGTATTATACAGTATTAACAACTGATGACGTTTTGCTCATAATCATATCAAGCTGTGTGGGTGACGTTATATGATTATGAGAAATAGTTTGTACTCGAAAAGTCATGAGTTAATATTACTATATAACATTCTGTGATTTATCAGAATAAAAGCTTATCTATAATGGAGTTATACTCTACCACAGTGCCCAAATTTTATACTTATATCAATGTTAATGAGAATGTGAATGTCAAATTGAAATCAAGTAGAAATGATGGCGGCAGTATACTAATGAAACAAAGGAATAAAAACTGTTGTTGACCCAGTGATTTTCAGTAAAATGGTAATTTCATGCTTAACGCTTTTCTCATCAAATTAAATGAGATATCATGGAGTCTTTATACTTACTCATCATAGCCCCAAAGTCTTTTATAGTTGAAAGAACAGGGTTGCGTACAAGGATGATGCTCAAAGTTCGACAAGGTTGATATTTACCGATTTCTTGCATGAGTTCACGTGTATGTCTACAATAGCACTCTCAAGCAAAAATATACCAAGTAAATTAAGTTAAATTGTAACTATCTACAAGTGTATGAAAATAGATACCGCATATTTGAAATATTTCGTAGTTTGGTTTCACATTGAAGTGTCCTAATAACATGTAAGCAAATTACCTGGTTGTCTATTTAAGAACCTGTGTTGGGAATACTTTCAATTTATGGATTTCCCTGTGTGTACAACAGTTTTCGCCTTTGTAACTATGAAATCTCTGAATGCTTTCGCAGTTCAATTGATACTAATTATATTATTCAGCACTTCTAAGTGGTTTTACTCACACTAAAATATGTTGTACTGGTGTTTGCCATTTTATGCTTCATTTTTAAGTAAGCACTGAAGATATTGTCTGGAAGGATAATAAGAGCCTCATAATCAAACTACCCAACTCAGAAAACACAATCACACAAAATAAATAATCTCTCTGTGATAAGAACAAAAATATATACATGCACATATTTTTTTCTATATATATATTAGGTATCACCAATGTCTTGAAAGTGAATATCAGCTTGTTGTAATTTACAGCATGGAAATGAACCATTAGTATAGTGGTATTCTGAAGTACCATCTATCAAACGTGGTGATTCATGTAAACGATTAAATTATTACCTGTATTGAACGAACACATTAATGTGTTCAAAATGTTTCATTCACCAGAAACAAAACACACCAACATAACAACATACCTCCGTGAACGAAATATTTATGTTTAGCTAGTTCAGAAATTGCCTGCAAAACTAGTATGTACAAAATACATAGACTAACTGTATTTTTTTTAACAACTACTTATTCCAAAAATACTGAGAGATTAAAGACAGAGTACATGCAGCGTCGGTGACATAGAGGTTAGGATGCTCGCCGACCATGCACATGGTCCGGAGTTTGATCCCCGGCCGACGCACTACTTTACCTCGCTAAGCTAGAAAAAGTGCTGGTAAAAAGGAAAGGTTGGGCATGAGGCTAGCAATCCTATCCTGTAAAATAAACACTGCTACAGAAGCTTCTAGCTTGAAGCCCTATGTTCCACTGTGAACGTGAAGGAAAAATTAATTTTCAAGTGTTGGTTTGTACAGATTTGATCGGTTTACAGGATTTCATCATGAGCTGACATCAGTTAGAGGACTATTCGAAAACCTGGGAGAACTGGACAACCAGCTGTTTAGTCCCAGTTTGGTACTCTTCAGGAACATGCACCCACCGACAGGGCTCGAACCCAGGACCTCCTGGTTACAAGGCTTGCGAGCTCGTAGACCATTAAGCCACTGGGGTCCGATCCAATGGCCAGTCCATGAATTCTAACTTCTGCAAATTCACGACATAGCGCGACCCCTAGCCAATGTCTTCGGCGAGTATTTGTCCTCACACCCGACCAGCTGCATCCTACTGGTCACGACATTTCACTAGAACCTCAGGTAACTACCTACTTGAATAGAGCAATCCGCTAGTGAGCATCTCTTTGATATTCAAATAATTAATTCAGTTAATTAATACATGTAGATGTTCTTGACATAGCGCTTGGTATACCAATATGTTTTTCTATAGTTGGTTTGTAAGGGTTAGTTTTGTTTTTGCGAGTTGATCACGGGTTGATATCAGTTAGAGAACTCTAGTGGGTGCGTATTGCCTATGATTCCCAAACTAGGCTGAAACAGCAGCTGTCCATTACTCCAACGCTGGTTTTCAATGGTTCTCTAACTGATATCAATCCGTGTTCAACTCGTAAAATACCAATGAATACTTACTTACATAATAAAACTGAATTGAAAATACCAGTTTATTTTATATGACATTGAGATGTCTAGCCATCTTATGTTTGACATAACTGAGATGGAGTATTCAAATCGCATGTTTTTTTTCTTCTGACGTTTTAAAAATAATCACACTCATAAGAATTAGTTATACAAATTGTGGATACTTGTAATTCATGCAGAAGTGGTTTTTTGTTGGAAATAAGTGAAATATTCACACAGTTTTTTTTTGCAACTCACTGAGCGCACGTTAAACCTTTTCCTTAGCAATTCTATAGATATTTCGTTTCGATAAACGTTTTTTTTAAAAAAATAAACAAATCAGATGAATTTAAACAAGAAGCAAATAGACTTGAAATTCTATGGTTCAGTAAAGTTTTTTGTTGTTGTTTTATTGTATCACGAGCTATAGAGTATTGACCGTGATGTTCATTCAACTTATTTTACTCAATCTATCCTCTTCTACATTTTGTCTATTTTATTAATAGAGAATATAATGAGAGGAGAGAATAAGTAAAGAAATACACTCCTTCTTATTAATTATCATAATTGTTTTGTGTCATAGTGTATTTTTTAGGTTAAGCGTATTCAAATTCACTTTCCCCTTCTTTTTAATACCTCTGCACTATATAAAAGCATACCAAAATTTTATTTTATGGAGTGAACAAAGAATAATATGCACTTAATATAGCTAAGAATTTGATTAGACAAAAAAAGTGGGTCAAAGTTAATTGCTTCCATTATATCATATATACATATATATTTGTATGATATAGGTTAGATATCGTTTTTTTGATGAATTCTTTATCAGTATTCACACTCTACACAAATGATACTTACTGAAATTTATTCGAGCATATTCAGTCAAGATGTCTAAGTTCTGTTTCTCCACTGACTATGTAATTCGGTTGTGAATGACTGATAACGGAGGTTCTACGCAGGTGTGTAAATATGTGCATGCAGGCGATACCTTTATTTCAGATTTTATTTTATTTCATTTTATCGTTATGCATGGAAGAATCTAGAAAGTTGAATATGCGTGTATACTGTTGCAAATATTTCAGTCTTTCTGTCACCTTCATTACCTTTACTTCTCAAGTACTTAGAAAAAATGCATAACTTGTTTTGAAGATAATTTCACTTTTATATTGCGTGCAGCGAAACTGCCTGATCTAATTATAAGAGGCAAGTTTAAAAAAAACTCGTTTTCAGAAACTTGAGGCGTATTATTAATATGGTTATTTTTAATAGTTAGAAGAAGCAATAATGCAGAACTGATGAGCATTCCTGTCTAAAATGGATTTCTACAATCTTCTTTTTTAATTAGGTAGTTTCTGTTGGAAGTAAACGCAGCACTGAGTACTAGTGATAACGTTGCACCAGTAGCATGTATGTTTAAGATACCCAAACTTTGGTTAGTAAATTGTGAATTTCAGTTTGCCGGTAAAATTAATTTTGAAAAAAAGCTGCTAGGACTCCTTAAATTTTTAGTGAAATATTAGAAACGTATCATTAGAATATCATGCTTAATAAATTGTCCCAGTAATCAAAACTTATCAAGAAGAAATAACTTCTGTCTTCCAGAAGCTCAATAACAGTCTGTTCTGCAACAAAAGGGAAAAGTTTGTCGCAGTCTTTAGAATGTTTTCTTCAATGTCTTAGGATAAACTTGAGGTAGCTGGTTCTTCTAAGACTTTCAAAGTATCAATATATCAATATGTATACATCTTTGTTATTGAATAGAAAATCACTAGGTAGATTCTAATTCAAAACCTGATGCTGTCCAATATACTGCTTTGTCTTTTTTTCGTAAGAGCATTACTTTCGGACTGTAAGACTGTCTGCCTAATACGGCATTCAGACGTAACGGAGTAAATAGAGCTCTTTAAAAGAAAGTACGTCAGT